CAGGAAGCCCGGGGCAGAGCAACTCTGCCTCGGGCTTCCTGTAGTCAGCCGCTGGTCAGTTTCAGCAGTGGCTAAATCTGGACGCCAGTTCCGACTTACATACAGATTCAACTTAAGAACAAACCTACAGTCCCTATCTTGTATGTAACCCGGGGACTGCCTGTATTATCCTTTTTCCATGATGGGGTACACATTGCTAATGAGAAAATAAATCTCCTTCCACTTTGGTCTTCTTTTTGCTTAGTTTAAATGTTAGGATGAAGCTGAACACAAGCCGTGGGATAAAAGGAAAAAGGGCTTTTCCAATGTCAATATGCATTTAATTTCAGACCATATCACATAATATTTAGTGATCCATCAGCCTGACTCATGACATGAGCAACGTGCCACCAGACTACCAATTCCCAGAATTTGGGAGCTGCTCTTTCACAGTTCAAAGGCAGGAGTAGCTCAAAGGAACTGTTATGGTGCCTAAAAGGGACTTAGTGTAAGGGAAACCAGGAGATAGCTGGCAGTAATTTGCAGTGAAAAAAGAGTAAATGTAGCTTGGCAGGAGCTGAGTTAAACAGAGTGAAAACCAAGGCTGTGTTTATGGAATAAAGCTTAAATTATGGTATTATCAAGTCTCTTCCAAACCAAACCCCACAGAAAGGGAAACTGGCTCTAAATAAACTCACTGCTCTGTTAGAGACTTCCTCTCCTGAGTCACTTACTATCCTGGGCCACAGGATCACCTGCTGTATTAAATATACAGTTCTATATTTTAATTTCAGTTTATGGTTACATTCCCACTCAGACTTATTGCTGGTTGCTATAAGAAGGAGCGGCAATTAAAATCTATTTACAAATGTAAAGGTGAAACAGGATCACATTAAAAAGTATATCTGATTTGATTAAAGACCTAGACATTTTGTAGGACACCTTAAGTTATAAAATCTCACAAAGCTGCAATCAAATAAGTTGTTTCACCACCTTTTACAAAATCTAAGTAGACGTGTGATTGATTTCAAATTTACAATATTATCTGTGGCAAAGATTCAGAAAAGGATCTTGCACCCAATCGAACACTTAGCACGAAGCATATGCTTAAGTTGCACTGAAGTCAACGTGCTTAAAGTTAAACACATGGTTATGTGGTGCCCTGAAGTGGGACAGACTTCTGCATAGTAATCAAGCTTGGATTTCAGACTCGTCACTAGAAAAGTTGTATAAGAAACTACTTCTTCTGAAAAAATGTATTACATAGAGGCTGTGTCTAGACTAGCAAGCTTTTCCGCAAAATCATCTGCTTTTGCGGAAAAACTTGCCAGCTGTCTACACTGGCCACTTGAATTTCCGCAAAAGCACTGACGATCTCATGTAAGATTGTCAGTGCTTTTGCGGAAATACTATGCTGCTCCTGTTCGGGCAAAAGTCTTTTTCTGAAAAACTTTTGCGCAAACGGGCCAGTGTAGACAGCAGAGATTTATTTTCCGCAAAAATCCCCGATTGCAAAAATGGCGATCGAGGCTTTTTTGCGGAAAAGCGCATCTAGATTGGCCACAGACGCTTTTCCGCAAAAAATGCTTTTGCGGAAAAGCATCCTGCCAATCTAGATGCGCTTTTCCGAAAATGCTTTTAACGGAAAACTTTTCCGTTAAAAGCATTTTCAGAAAACCATGCCAGTGTAGACGTAGCCAGTGGCTATGAAGCATGTGTATATGAATAAGAGTGGACAGGACATAAAGGGGAAGGAATTGTTATGGTCATAACTTTTCCTAAATCGTCTATTTTTCATTCATGCATTTGGATTCCTGCTTTGTTAACGCCCCAGATTAGCCCTAACCCAGGGCTCAGTCAGGCTGTGTCTAGACTGCAGGGTTTTTTCGAAAAAAGTAGCAGTCTAGACGCTCGTTTTCGAAAGAGGCTTTTTCGAATGTATATTTTGAAAAAGCCTCTTCCGAAAGAGGCTTGCAGTCTAGATGTAGCCTCGGAGTTGAATGATTGGTGTTTGCATGGTATGTAGTTCAAATTGATAGTGATGTCAGAGACAGTGGAATAGTCATATCAGTTCTTTTGGAAACTGCTACAGAGCAATTTCTCAAGTCCAGCAGCCACAGCCCTGCATGTATTATCCCACCTTTACTCTTGTAAGAAAAGGAGGAATCTCCGCCTTCTGCTCATTGGAATTTACTCACACCCTTCTTACAATATTGATTGACAGTGATTTATTACAAGAACTTATTCCACACAGGTGTCTGGTTTCTGGCTCCCCCCAGTAAACTCAGTGCCAGAGAGCAGATGGTAGCATTTAGCTGCCTTCTGTGCCTGCATGGATGAGAATGTCTGAGGACCCTGAGCTGTGTGCTAACTAGCTCAAAGCAGGTCCATATGACCTTGTGGTTAGAACACTGGTAGCCAACATTTCCTTGCACTACCACTCACGCTGCTGTTCCATCTGAAAGAACTGAACTGGTGGTAACAACAGTAGAAAATTTTAAAAAAATTAGGTCCAATATAGAGCAGGTGAGAGTGTGCACTGGCACTGTAAGCTGCTGGCCTGTCTCACCAGCTCAGGTAGCATTAAACATCAAAGTTTGCTGAGGCCTTCTTCAGGGGAAAGTTTAATGAGGAAACATAAAAATCAATCAAGGTAATACAAAACCACCATCCCTCTGAGCAAACCAGGCTGCTGAGGCTCAGAAATTTCCCCTTTGTATATTCTTCCCCCCACCCACACACACATACTGCTCTAGGACCTGTCACAAAAGACAACCTGTAGCTCCCCTTTGGCTATGAATACACACAGCAACATTATTTCAAAATAACATAGCCCATGACTACATAGATGGCAGTTATTTCAACATAATGTCAAAATATTGTCAAGATGGAGGACTTCTTACTCAGATTCCTGTAATCCTCATTTTATGAGGAGTAAGGAAAGTCAGAGGAAGAGTGCTCTATTTCAAAATAAGTGCTGTGTAGACAGCGCCAAAATTTGAAACAAGCTATTTTGAAATAAGTTATGCAATTGATGTAGCTCAATTTCTGTAGCTTATTTCGTGTTAAGCTTTGATGTATAGATGTACCCTTTCAGGCCTTTATAGCAATGGAAGTCTAGTACCAAAGGTTGTAGAGCAGACTCATTCTCTCTGGGTGCATCTACACAGCACCCTAAACTTGAAATAAGATAAGCAATTTGCGCTGTGCAAACTGTGTATCTTATTTCAATCAAATTTCGATTTAGGCTATTTCAAAATTTGGTGCATCTACACAGCGCCACATTTTGAAACAACACACTATTTCGAGACATCCCTCAATCCTCGTGGAACAAGGGATTCTTGGATGCTGAAATAGCGTGCCCGTTATTTCAAAAATATTTTGAAATAATGGGCGGCTTGTGAAGACACAGGGTAGCTATTTCAGGATACCTCCAGTGCCACTAGTCAGGACAGTACAGCATATCCAGAAGGTATGGGGATTATATAAGCAAGATCTGGATGAATTCCCGACACCTAGCTGAGAAGGTGAGGCTTTAGGAGCAAATGGCATTTAAATGAACTCACCTACTCTGCTTTGAAATCTAGCAGATGGAACAATGTGGCTGAAAGTGAACAGACTTAGGCAGGTGTTGGGTTATAAATCACTTTAGTACTCAATGCAAGGTAGTAAAATACTGTTTCAATGTTGTTTTAATTCTTTCATGAATACAGGGAAGCAGGTAGTTTAATGGTGGATGGTGCATAACCTGTCCCAAATGAGTGGGTCACCCGCAGCCAAAAGGCCCTCATTAAGACAGGGGCTCAAAGGCCAGCGTAAGTAGGAGGAGTGAGGACAGATGTCCCAGTCAGAAAGCGTGTGGACTTCCCAGAGGGGTCCCCAGACTTGTTTAACCTGTTCTTCCTCACTGTTCAAAGGAAGAGCTAAACAGACTTTATTACGAGCTATTTGTTATTTTCAGTGCTTGACTGGGGCATGGTGGTGGGAATGTGTTTCTCTCCTGCCTGCCAAGAGCTGAAAATTACCAAGAGATTGATGTGCAGAGATCACAGCACAAAGGCAAGTGACAGCCATAGCAGGTGACTGACAGTTGGCTGACTGGTGAGGAACAGTGACAGTTGGGATGGCCAGAGGAAAAGCGCAGTGGACGGCAGGGCAGCCCAGGTGGCAAGGAGAAGCCAAGCAATGAGGAGCAGTGACCAGAAGGGTGGCCAGCCAAAGCAAGTGATCAGATGGCAGAACAAGCAGATACCTTCTTCTCCAGGTGAGAGGTGAACTCACACAGCTGTGCCTCTGAATGCTGGTTTCTCTTAGTCATGTGGGGTGTGGTGAGGGAGCAGAGAGGGGCATGGAAAAGAACTTTTGATTGAAGAACTCAAGAATAGGAAGTTGAAGGCACTGCTCCACCACTCTGGGCTGGGCTTCTTGCTCTAATTAATGTGGGGTGGCTTCTCTCCCATCATTAAAAGATTCTTTTCTATAGTCAGATGCTGTGCTCATGAGTGGGGAAGAATTGCCTCTCTCGGGTGCACTGGGGGTGGTGTGTAGTTTTCCCATGTTACTGGATGGGAGCCTGAGGTGGTTCTGTGCTGCATCAATGGAAAAGAACTCCTAGATATTGAACATGACTCTGCTTGCTGCCAGCTCCACCTGGCAGAAGGATTATAGCAGTCACCTGGTCCCTTCTAGCTTAGTCCAATAAGGTGTAAATTAAAGGGGGGAATTGAAGAAACAGGGACACAAAGACTAAGAGGTGTTAAAAAAAGGAGAATGAGAGGCTGTTCCCTGAAAGAATAAGGGGAGAAGCTATCAAACACCTGTTCAAAGGATTGCTGTCACTAAACAGGCCCTTGAAAAGGTGCATATCACCTTGTCCCAAGTGGCAACACACATGCAACAGCATCAGAAGCATAGGTATGAATGGACTGGAATGAGATCGTTCTTTTGTGCTATGTAGGGAACAAATAAATTCTGTAAATGGCTCAATCAAAAGGGTGAATCCTTTCTACTGCATTTGGAGGTGCATTAATGCACAGAATCAGGTCTCTTCTAGGTGCAGGGATACTGCTGCATATTTTGGAACTTTTAAAATACACAGATGAGAGGGGGGCACTGTTCCTGCTTTCTAAATATTTATTCTGGTTCTGTTAGGTGATGTAAGTGCAAAATTATAACTTGTTTGAAGAGCAGAAGGAGGGTGTGGACATGACAAATGATGGTCTTGAAGCTTAGGTGCATAAAGAGTGTATGGGCTAGTGGCCACAAAGCTGCAAGAATGAGATGATAGACTCAGAAAACAGTAGCTGGAGGTGTAAATTAAAGGGGGGAATTGAAGAAACAGGGACACAAAGACTAAGCGGTGTTAAAAAAAGGAGAATCTGAGAGACTGTTCCCTGAAAGAATAAGGGGAGAAGCTATCAAGAGTAAGAAAAAGCTAGAAATTGTTGCTAGAAAAATCAACTCAACAAGATCTATGCAGTTCAGGGGAAGTTACATTGTTTATTGACAAATCTGTGTTCTTTTAGACATGTCATAAGCCACAAATTGATCACGTTGGTTAGAAAGTGTGGGCCTGACTCTCCTTTCATTTGCACCAGCATAGATCAGGAATAGCTCCAGCCAAAAATGGTAGTTAATTACCCCAGTGGCAGGGTATTCAGGTTCCACTGTTGTGGTTAAGACCTCTTTCCACATCAAATCAATCATTTGGCTTTTAAAAAAAAATTAAATTTACTTTCACAGACTTTTACCCTGTTGAAGGCCTTTTCTTCTTTATCCTTCCCTTTCAGCCCAGCCCATGGGCTACTGCTAGCTCCTGAGTGCAGAACATGAGAGCTAGGAGTCCACTTAACAGACTGACTTCCTGGTGGGATTTCTGCTCTTGTGATTTTTTTTTTTTTTTTTTTGGCCAAATGCTATAGTTTCTTGGGGTCAATAAGCACCTGCAAATAGCTCTCTAAGTTATCAGGATCAATGATCAAAGGCTTTGTGTACTTATCCCAGAAGAATAAAAAAGAGAAGAGAACTAAAATTAAAAGTAAATTTGGAAATCTTGTGCTTTCAAGCATTTCAGTAGCTCTTTGTAAATGGGACAAAGCAGATATCCTTGCTCTGGAAATACTTTTCAAAGAACTACCATGAAAGCTAAAGACATGCAGGTGAGTAAAAACACACATCATTCAGTTACACAGAATTTTCAGTTGCTACAAAAATATGTCAGGTCGAATTGTCAACTCCACTGGTACAGGATCAAGTTTTTAAATCAGTATAATTTCATAAACAGTCAAGCCAAAGTTCCATCCAATTATTACATCTTTGAATGTAACCACTACAACTCTCTATTTATTATAAGTTTAAAGCTGATATTATTCAGTGGGAAGAGAGATCTCTTTAAGAGTCCTCTAATGTAAAACAATCAGGCAGGAACAGGGACAGGGACAGTGACTTTCACAATATAGTTATTTGGTAGATCTAATCAGGTTTTCTAATCAATTTCTGATCTTTTTCATTTGAAGTTTTTATATCTGATGTCATTCCAGATGGCGTAATTCTGTAATCACAGCTAGAAAGGAAATGCACAGGATTTTAAAATCTGTACAGTTCCACAAAGGCCAACTAATAATGTTTCCCTGCGTACATTGTAGATGCATATTAGAAGTTGATTGGCTTAAAGAAGTTTTAGTAATTAAATCTGAATACTGTTCAAAACTATCACAGATCTAGATGTTATCCCATATCAGAAAAAAACCCAGAAAGACTGATTATGTATTTGCCAATGTGATAGATTTTTTTTTAAATTTGGAACAGACCCAGATTCTCTTATCATGCTCTGCAAAAACTCATTTATATTCCCCTCCAATATATTTAATAGGCAGCAATTAAATCTTCAGTCCGCCTTTCACTTCACTAGCTTACCTGCCTTATAAGAAGACTCTTATTGATTTGTTTTTTGACCTATCTTCATGGTATCTTTAAGCATGACCTGAAAGCAGATGCAGAACAGGAGTTACATGATATTTTTTTTTTTAACTTGTGACTGGGAAAATTTACAAAAATCATTGCCCTGTGTAATTCACTGTGGAACATTAATTCTCCTTTTCTGTTAAATGGATTCTCGACCTGGGCATCACAAATTGGTCTATTGGGTCATGGCCACTTTCCCTTTCTTTCTGTGCAGATAGGAGTGTGTGCACGTGCGGGGCAGGGGAGGAGAGAGGCATTATTGAACGTGGAAAGGTTATGAACCATCGATCCACTGCTGCTGGTCTTCCAACACCAAGACAAGCAGGCTTCAGATACTTTGAATAGAGACAGTATGGATCATGTGTATCAAGGAAAGAAGATGATCCCAGTGGTGAAAGGAAGACAGCTGCTTAACATGAAGCTAGAAATTGGCTGCAGACAGATCATGGGATTGAGTAGCATGAATCTGAGCAGATTGCCTTCTCCCATTTCAGCTGGTCAGCAGTCTGATCCTCTCTCCTCATATGAAGACCTTTCATTTAATCCAGTTCAACTTCTGGGACTATGCAACTACCAAAACAAGGCTGGTGCAGCACAGTACAGTTTCAGGCTACAATCCCAAACCCAGTAAAATCAACACAAAGATTCACATTGACATGTATGGGTTGCAGATTGGACGCTTAATGCCCAATTGCAGGGAATTCAAAATATTGACATTTAACATTAATCCCCCTCTCATCCTCCCCTCTTGGTTAAATGAAATGAAATGTAACAAACACCATTCTTGGGGTGTAAGCATAAGAAATAAATTTTCATAAATATGTCCAATTTAGATCTAGGCAAAGGGTTCAGCCTGGGTCAAAGCATTGGTATTTACGCAGTAGATAATGCAAACTGACAGGGACCTCAGAGGCAGTGCAGCAAGAATATCCTTATTTCAGTGAAATGCTACAGACCAGTTTTTGCAATCTAATAGCCATAGACATGATTTCCAAGTCCAGCAACATCAGCTTTACACACATGATCTCACCTTTGCTTGCAGTAAAGTAGAAGGATTCTCCTGCTTTCCGTCTGCATATGAACTCTCTTTTGTCCTTCTCACAGCATTGTTTGGCAATGATTACAAGATCTTATTTTAAAACAGATGTCTGGTTTCTAGTCTCCATCCTTATTCTTAAGGCACTTAGTGGCCTGAGCTCCTGATAGCCAAAAGATTAGTAAGGCTTGACGATGACAACTTTATTCCTCTGACAGAGCTGAACTCTATACAATAAAGACAAATTCACTTGTGTGGGAGACAGATGCTTTCTCAGGTGTTGGTCCAGGCTGCTAGAATGAACTTCCACAGGAACAGAGACCATCACAAACCTCACCATCATTTTTACATATACACTTCATTTTTTAAAACTTGTTCTCTAACACATGGAACAATTTGTGTGTGTGGACAGATAATTATTTAAAAATTCCTAAACGCCACTGCATGATGCTCTCCCTGGGGAGCGGACAAGAGAACAAGTGTGCCGGATATTAGCCATGTTGCTTAACACACTACTGGAAAATGTTCATATATTACAGCAATGAGTGTGGTATAAAAAATCAACATTAAACAGAGTAGACTTACGTGTTAAGCCACAGATGCTTGAGGAAGGGCCATGGGATAGGAAGACAGCTGTTGCTTTTTGAGGCATTAAGAGAGGACACCCAAAATACTCTCCTTTCTTCCATGCTTCATATTACCATGACCAAAACATTTATTTGTTCATTTGCCTCTGATCATTGTTGTAGTTTGTGAGAAATCTTCATATGATTAGAAATACATTAACTGAACCACACTTATACAATAATACAGGTTTAGATGCCTGGGATTGTTTCTATAATTTTTGGCTCTTTGTCCTGAAGTATTTTCTTCATGACATTCAAGAACCATTTAGTTTTGTGTTGTAAGGAGTGATATTATATTTGAAATTAAGAGAGGGCCTGACTACCTTTCTTCTGCAGGAATAGCCAGAAGAAGGTGCAAAAGGGCGGGACTTCTACATAAATTTTACCTCAGGGAGACATCTCTGATTTTTTAATTTGGAGGGGATGTTTATTGCTGACTTGCACTGTCGGTTAACAGAAGGTCAAGAACACTCCAAAAGAAGGTCTTTGATTCCTTGCCAGCTTTAGATCAGTGATGCTCCCTCTACACAACATAGAAATGATCCTTAAGAGAGCCATACCATGGAAGTGGGCGGCAGAAATATCATGATGTCTGGAACTGTATCCTAACTCTGCCATGAGCTCTTCAAGGACTCTGTGCCTCCTTTCTATAGATTTATGCATTGTCCCATTTATCACTCTTCCAGATGATACCCTTCCTCCATGTGGATCCCAGCACTCAAAGAGGAGACTTCTGAATCATTCCTCCCTTATCTACAAGAGGTAGGAGATGCTGGCAATATCTCTATCTAGTCAGGAAGGCATGATTGGCCCAAATGGTATTATGAAAGCATAATTTTAAATAACATACCATGAACAAGATGACCATTTAAGTCACTGCAGCAAATTTCAAATCTTCCAATTATACCAAAATTCAGAGTACGAGTATACATGGAAGGATTAGAACGTTATTAATAAATATATGTAAATGTCAATTTTACCATGCACACAGGTAGGGAAAAAAGTATTCCCATCTATAATTTAAATTTATAGACAGGCAAAGAAAGAAAAATGCTGCTTGAGAAATTAAAGTTTGATTTAAAGATATTTTCCTTTGTATATTTTGACGTGACAATTTGTATACATACCATTTATGAAACTTTAACTTTTTAAATATAAACTGTCATTAAAAATTGCCTGAACTGCCTTAATTTCATGCAAGTGTAAACATTGGAGAGAAAAAAAAATAAAACACAATGTTAAACAATATTATCCACTTAAATGATATAGAAAATATTGAGATGTTGAGCCTACTTATGGGGGTTGCTTTTGTGCTTGTTTCTCATGAAGTAATATGACCAGATTTTGCTCCATGTCAAACCAGAAAAACTCTATTAATATCAATGTATTTATTTCAGACTGAAGTTGGTATAATTGAAAGCAAAATAATCAAGGTCCATAATTTTACTACTTTGTTTACTACAAGAAAACCATTTCCTTCATTTTGCGACTTCTTTTGCCACTTCTTCTGGTTCATGGCACAGATTCACAGGTCTTGAAGATCCAATCCCTTTCTCTTTAAAGTTCTTTTGACAAAATATTTCCATTTAATCTTAGGTTTTCCACATCCTTTGCTGCTGCCTCTTCTTCCCATGCTTTCTTTACCCATTCTTATCACACCTCAAGCCTGCCTCAAACTATTTCTTACAGTCTCCCCCACATCCCACTCAATACTCCAAAAGCCAGCTCGCATGGAATCAAGCCATAAACTCTCTCAAAATCAATAAATGCTCCATAGGAGTTATTCCCTCCATTAATTGTGCTGTCCAATGTCTGCTTCATTGCAAATATTGCATCTGTAGTACACTTTCCTTTCCTGAAGGCATGGGAAAGCATTCCTATCAACTAATTGAAAATAGTGTTTAGTTTATACCACGAGCAAGCTTTTTCTATTTCTCTAATCCTAGCTGGACACTGGGGCCTCCTAATATGCCTCCCAGTGATGTCAAAAGAGAGAGAATGAAGAAAATTAAAATAAAGGCAGGAAGAAAATATTAAAAGTAAACAAATACAAAATAAATGAAAAAATAGGAGAGAATAGGCCAAGAAAAACAGGACAGTAAAGATAAAGGAAAGGAAAGAAGGAGGATTAATAAAATGAAGAAAAACACTCAGTAATAAATGATAGATAAAACCGATAATATTGAATCAAAGGGCTAACTAACTACTATGGACCCCATCCAGCAGATCGTACTTAGGAAAAATTCCCAGTGGACTGGTGCACTGATTTCCCTGCCCAAGAAAACAAAACAATCAGGCAGCCAGATAGTCGGTTGTGATCCCATCTTCCCATGGCCATCTTTATGAGAACTTAAAGCTAAGCAGAATAAAAACAACTGAGGCAGAAGAAAGGCAGCAACTATAACCAAGTATTCCCACAAAGATCTGTGAGTAGGGCTCCGGCTCATACCTAGGTATTTTCCCTTTACTCCTTGCTGCCTTTATATATCCCTTGTCCTCTTTAAGGATAGGTCTAAAGCATTTTTGACAGACCCTCCCAACCCAGGTGGATAGACACAAGCTAGTAGCAGAGTTCATGTTAATGCTCAAAAATGCTGAAAAGACAATTGTTCGAAGTTATGGCTTCAGTATCTGAGTGCCAGGCCAAACCGCATCGTCAAAGTGATGTCTATTAACTATTTTTATAGCACTAGCACAAGCCCTGCTAGCCTAGATCTCTCTACCCAGGCGAGAAGGCATGCTCCAAAATGCTGTTAATGTGTCAGGGTTAACTGACTGTTGCACTAACCCTTTATGATCAGGGCGAGGGAATGCTCTCATATACTACAAAATCAATGGGAGTGTAATAATGTACAAGATGAGGGTAGTATCCTTTTAAATAGTATGTGAGCCCTCTAGTGGAGCTCAGCATGTTCTATGTTTTAGAACCAACCCAGAGAGGCAGTATATACACAATTAAGCCTTACATATTCTGCAAATAGCAAACAATGGGCGTCAGTTGGGGATTTTTGCTTGACTGAGGACTATAGGATCTGTTCTATTATAGAAATTTATCCAGAAATCTATCTAGATAATATGTGTGTGTGTGAATATATCTATATGTGTGTGGGTGTGTGTATATAGAGAGAGAGATACAGACAGACAGATAGATATTAAATTCTTCAGCAGTATCTACTTTTGTAGATCAATCTGGTATAAGGATAAGCTCACTCAGCTAACATTTTCCTTTGAGTACTTGATACAGAATTAATGTCACATTTATGTTTATTTAATTTATTTATTGTGAATACCTCATTACTTGATACCAGTGCTTGAAGTGTTTATAAGCATCTACTATCGCAGTTTAAGAGTTCTTTACCTGCTCTCTATCCTGCTCCCTGAGCATCTAGTCATGGGAAACCCTTCCCACTGATTCTATGTTCAAGAAAGATAAATTGAAATGTGAAAGGTACAGAGAAGAGCCAATAGGCCTTCCCTTCTCTCGACCATTCTCACTTATAAGAGGAGATTGAAAGACCTTAGCTTATTTAGTCGAGTAAAAAGGATGGGGGTGTATTATTATTGCTGCCTCCATATGCATTGGAGGGAGGGGCAAATAGCTAGGCATGTGACGAGTTTTTTAAACTAAAGGACAATATTGGCACACGTGCAAGTGGATATAAGCAAATTCAGGCAGGAAATAAGAAGAAGGTTTCTAAATCAAAGGGGAGAGGTTCTAGAACAGATGTCAAATAGGAATTGTGGGGGCAATCAATGTAATAAGTTTTGAGAGGGAGATGGACACATTTTGTAGCACAATTCTATGAAGGATTGCCTGGGATGGTAGGAGACATGGCTCAATACAACTAGAGATCACTTCCATTTTATGTCTGATGTTCCTCAAGCTCATGTTTCAGGATTTCAGCTGGCTACTAGCAGGGATCAGAATGGGATGTTCCCTCTACTCTCAGTGGATTCTGGGAGGCTTTTAAAAAAAGTTACCTTCCTCTGAAGCAGCACGAGATGGCCATGACTAGAGATGGGACTTGGGGAGGGGCACTGAACATTCTCTCTCGTGTGCTTGGTTGGTTCTTGCTCATATGCTATGGGTCTAACTGACCAACATATGTGGGATTGTGAAGGAATTCTCCCCCACCCTCCACCTCAAATTGACAATTAGCTCCCAGGAGCAGAGAGGGTGTGAAGGTTGCTTGCTAGGGGTATCTGGGTATCACTCACTTAATCATTTCCATGCCATTCTGCGAGCTTCGGGCATTGGTGCACCTCACTTCCTCCTGTTCTCTGCATGTGGTAGTCTAGTCTCCTTTAGGCTGCTGCAATACTTTAACCTTACATTAAAAAGGAGACCAGCTAAAGTGGTGTCGGTGGCCTGTGCTATACAGACAAGACTGTACAGCAAGACTACCTATGACTCTCCCATGTAAAAATTATATTGGCCCAAAACCCAACATGGACAACATTCCCTATACAAGTGACATATTATACAGCTCAATTAGGATTTGGGGGTTTTTAGGGACAGTTCTTTCTGATATGCTCTCCTTCCTGATCAGCCCCCAGCTAAGCTGTACTCTCCCTCTTAATCCTGTTACAGGTGTAGTAAGGTATGGCCTGTTGAGTCCACAGCAGCTCATTAATCTCTTCCTCCAATGCAGGTTTCTGTACCCTCTTATGCACAAGCTACAGTGTTCTACGAAACTATCTTTTGATTTAAATACCTCAAGTGATGAGTTAACTTGGATATCAGTCAGATATCCTTAGTTATCCTCAACTATTCAGATTTCTGCTTGTAATTAGAGAGGGGCTGGAAAGAAAGTTTAGTCAACAATTCTGTAGTTTGGATACAGAGCTGGGTTCAGGTCCATGCAAGGACTGTGATATAGTAGAGGGGTCAAAGCTGACTAAAAGATTTGTAAACAGACATAGAAAACAACCTAAGATGTTCATTCCCACCTAAGAAGAAAAAAAAAATCACACTGTGGCGCACACATTGTGTCCCTGTATGTGTCTATCAACAGCAGAGAAGACATGAAAATGAGAAAGCTTTACTTTGTAGTTTATCTGTTCTATCTGCATAATGCAGAGATCAAGAGGAGATTTTTTTCCCTTTCAATTTATGACTTTGCTTACCCTCAGCCATTTCCTCAAAGGGATAAGAACATCCACACACTCTTCGTAATGATTTGCTGTGTTGCTTGAAGAGCAGAAAGGTATTAGAAACATTATCCAAAGGGGATGCTTTTGGGCAGAAGGGCCTGCTGCTATCATTCCTGGGGATGCCAGTGAAGTCAGTGATATTGTTACTGCTGACTGCACTGGAGATTTCACTCCAGTTTGTTTGGCTTAATACAATAAAATGAAATTAAAATAAAGTCTCCTCTAGACACTGACTGCTATCTAAAGGAAACGAAAACCTACATGAGCAGAAGAAAGAGCAAGCTGCTTGTGTGTGATTATATCAGCAGCTCTGATGGTTAGACATTTTTAAGCAGAGTAACTTCCATCAATGTCAAATGGAGTTAAACACCAACATGGACAGGATACTATGCCCCCAAGAAGTGCAAGACACATGCACACAAAAAACCCTCTTCATCTAACAGCAAGAAGCAACAATCAACAAGAGCAAGAAAATTAAAAATTAAGGTTGATACTGTCATGACTTCAGGGCATACTGCATGATCCAGCTGTTGGAACATGATCCAGCTGTTGGAACAGAGGACAGAGAACTAATCGCAAATGAGGAAAAAAATGATGTATCCACATGA